AAATACACAGACTGGCAACTGGATAAAGAGTCAAGACCCGTCAGTGTGCTGTATTCAGGAGACCCATCTCACATGCAGAGATACACATAGGCTCAAAATAAAGGGATGGAGGAAGATCTACCAAGCAAATGGAAAGCAAAAAAAGAGCAGGGGTTGCAATCCTAGTCTCTGATAAAACAGTCTTTAAACCAACAAAGATCAAAAGAGACAAAGCCATTACATAATGGTAAAGGGTTCAATTCAACAAGAAGAGCTAACTATCCTAAATATATATGCACCCAATACAGGAGTACCCAGATTCATAAAGCAAGCCCTTAGAGACCTACAAAGAGATTTTGACTCCCACATAATATTAATGGGAGACTTTAACACCCCACTGTCAATATTAGACAGATCAACAAGACAAAAGGTTAACAAGGATATCCAGGACCTGAACTCAGCTCTGCAACAAGCAGACCTAATAGATGTCTAAGAACTCTCCACCCCAAATCAACAGAATATACATTCTTCTTGGCACCACATTGCACTTATTCTAAAATTGTCCACATAATTGGAAGTAAAGCACTCTTCAGCAAATGTAAAAGAAAAGAAATCACAACAAACTGTGTCTCAGACCACAGTGCAATCAAATTAGAACTCAGGATTAAGAAACTCACTCAAAACCGCATAGCTACATGGAAACTAAACAACTTGCTCCACAATGACTACTGGGTAAATAACGAAATGAAGGCAGAAATAATGACGTTCTTTGAAACCAATGAGAAAAAAGACACAACATACCAGAATCTCTGGGACACATTTAAAGCAGTGTATAAAGGGAAATTTGTAGCACTAAATGCCCACAAGAGAAAACAAGAAAGATCTAAAATTGACACCCCAACATCACAATTAAAACAACTAGAGAAGCAAGAGCAAACACATTCAAAAGCTAGCAGAAGGCAAGAAATAACTAAGATCAGAGCAGAAATGAAAGAGATAGAGACACAAAAAAACCCTTCAAAAAAATCAATGAATCCAGGAGCCAGTTTTTTGAAAAGAGCAACAAAATTGATAGACCACTAGCAAGACTAATAAAGAAGAAAAGAGAACTAAGAATCAAATAGACACAATAAAAAATGATAAAGGGGATATCATCACTGATCCCACAGAAATACAAACTACCATCAGAGAATACTATAAACACCTCTATGCAAATAAACTAGAAAAGCTAGAAGAAATGGATAAATTCCTGGACACATACACCCTCCCAAGCCTAAACAAGGAAGAAGTTGAATCTCTGAATAGACCAGTAACAGGCTCTGAAATTGAGGCAATAATTAATAGCCTACCAACCAAAAAAAGTCCAGGACCAGACAGATTCACAGTTGAATTCTACCAGAGGTACAAAGAGGAGTTGGTACCGCTCCTTCTGAAACTATTCCAATCAATAGAAAAAGAGGGAATCTTCCCTAACTCATTTTATGAGGCCAGCATCATCCTGACACCAAAGCCTGGCAGAGACACAACAAAAAAAGAGAATTTTAGACCAATATGCCCCTGATGAACATTGATGCGAAAATCCTCAATAAAATACTGGCAAACCGAATCCAGCTGCACATCAAAAAGCTTTTCCACCACGATCAAGTTGGCTTCATCCCTGGGATGCAAGGCTAGTTCAACATATGCAAATCAATAAACATAATCCATGACATAAACAGAACCAACAATAAAAACCACATGATTATCTCAATAGATGCCAAAAAGGTCTTTGACAAAATTCAATAGCCCTTCATGATAAAAACTCTCAATAAACTAGGGTGTTGATAGAACATATCTCAAAATAATAAGAGCTATTTATGACAAACCCACAGCCAATATCATACTGAAGGGACAAAAACTGGAAGCATTCCCTTTGAAAACTGGCACAAGACAAGAATGCCCTCTCTCACCACTCCTATTCAACATAGTGTTGGAAGTTCTGGCCAGGGCAATCAGGCAAGAGAAAGAAATAAAAGGTATTCAATTAGGAAAAGAAGAAGTCAAATTGTCCCTGTTTGCAGCTGACATGATTGTGTATTTAGAAAACTCCATCATCTCAGCCCCAAAATTCCTTAAGCTGATAAGCAAATTCAGCAAAGTCTCAGGATACAAAATCAATGTGCAAAAATCACAAGCATTCCTATACACCAATAACAGACAAATAGAGAGCCAAATCATGAGTGAACTCCTGTTCACAATTGCTAAAAAGACAGTAAAATACCTAAGAATCCAACTTACAAGGGATGTGAAGGACCCCTTCAAAGAGAATTACAAACCACTGCTCAACGAAATAAAAGAGGACACAAACAACTGGAAGAATATTCCATGCCCATGGATAGGAAGAATCAATATCGTGAAAATGGCCATACTCCCCAAAGTAATTTATAGATTCAATGCCATCCCCATCAAGCTACCAATGACTTTCTTCACAGAATTGGAAAAAACTACTTTAAAGTTCATATAAAACCAAAAAATAGCCCACATTGCCAAGACAATCCTAAGCAAAAAGAACAAAGCTGGAGACATCACACTACCTGACTTCAAACTGTACTACAAGGTTACAGTAACCAAAACAGCATGGTACTGGTACCAAAACAGATATATAGACCAATGGAACAGAACAGAGACCTCAGAAATAACACCACACATCTACAACCATCTGATCTCTGACAAAACTGACAAAAACAAGAAATGGGGAAAGGATTCCCTATTTAATAAATGGTACTGGGAAAACTGGCTAGCCATATGTAGAAAGCTGAAACTGGATCCCTTCCTTATACCTTATACAAAAATTATTTCAAGATGGATTAGAGACTTAAATGTTAGACCTAAAACCATAAAAACTCTAGAAGAAAACCTAGGCAATACCATTCAGGACATAGGCATGGGCAAGGATTTCATGACTAAAACATCAAAAGCAATGAAAACAAAAGCCAAAATTGACAAATGGGATCTAATTAAACTAAAGAGCTTCTGCACAGCAAAAAGAAACTACCATTAGGGTGAACAGGCAACCTATTACAGAATGGGAGAAAATGTTTGCAATCTACCCACCTGACAAAGGGCTAGTATCCAGAATCTACAAAGAAGTCAAACAAATTTACAAGAAAAAGACAAACAACCCCATCAAAAAGTGGGCAAAGAGTATGAACAGACACTTCTCAAAAGACATCTATGCAGTCAACAGATACATGAAAAAATGCTCATCACCACTGGTCATCAGAGAAATACAAATCAAAACCATAATGGGATACCATCTCATGCCAGTTAGAATGGCAATCATTAAAAAATCAGGAAACAACAGATGCTGGAGAGGATGTGGAAAAATAGGAATGTTTTTACACTGTTGGTGGGAGTGTAAATTAGTTCAACCACTGTGGAAGACAGTGTGGCGATTCCTCAAGGATTTAGAACTAGAATTATCATATGACCCAGCAATCCCATTACTGGGTATATACACCCAAGGGATTATAAATCATTCTACTATAAAGACACTCGCACACATATGTTTATTGCGGCACTATTCACAATAATAAAAACTTGGAACTAACCCAAATGTCCATCAGTGATAGACTGGATTAAGAAAATGTGGCACATATACACCATGGAATACTATGCAGCCATAAAAAAGGATGCATTCATGTCCTTTGCAGGGACATGGATGAAGTTGGAAACCATCATTCTGAGCAAACCATCACAAAGACAGAAAACCAAACACTGCATGTTCTCACTCCTAGGTGGGAACTGAACAATGAGATCACTTGGACACAGGATGGGGAACATCACACACCGGGGCCTGTCAGGGGGTGGGGGGCTGGGGGAGGGATAGCATTAGGAGAAATACCTAATGTAAATGATGAGTTGATGGGTGCAGCAAACCAACATGGCACATGTATACCTATGTATCAAACCTGCATGTTGTGCACATGTACCCTAGAACTTAAAATATAATAATAAAAAAAGAAAGAAAGAAATCCACTATAGAAGTGACCAAGGAATTTCAGTATCGAAACTTTTTTTGAGCCCAGGATAGCTTTGAACTCCCAGGCTCGAGCAATCCTCCCCACTCAACTCCAGATAATTACAGGCATGAGCTACAATGCATGGCTCATCTTTGATTTTTCTCAATGTCACTTGGGTCGTTTGTGGCCCAGACTAGACAGGGGAATAGCCTGATCATCTGGCCAGATCTAAACTGAAATACCTGATGAGGCAGCTATATTTGGAGAGGCTGAGCTGAGATATGGAAGATAAAGATCTGGTATTGAGGATTCAGGCTTGTAAGGGAAATCTTCAAATGCAAATTATGCACCCTAATTTTTTTAACTGATTCTTTCTTCTGGCTATAATTTACTTTTTTTGGAGATTGCATATATTTACACTTATTTGCTAGGTGTTTGTGTTTCTTTCCTGAATTACCTTTTCACCGTGATAGTGTATTTTTTGTTCAGTCACTTAGAATAAAAATTCAAGTGTGAAGAAAGAAAAATACTTAATGTAACCTTTTGCTTTATTTTAGAAAGTTTTATTTATGTGATTATGCATTTCCTAGATACTAGTTATTTCTGTTCAAGGCCATTTACTCCAGCACCCAAGTGGATTTCTTGATTGCAGATTTATTACTATGGAATGTATTTGCGTAGAATTATTTCTTTCCATTACACTGGCCTTATTCACACTTCTGTGGTTTAATACAATGAAAAGTTGCTTTGACATTGAAGTTCTGTATTGAGTACCACAAGATATTATTCCCTTACAGCACTTGTATTGTAACTTGCAAACTGAACGTTTGAAAAATCAAAATGAAAGCATGCAGTATAAAGGTCTGCCTTTGAAGGATAATGGCATGCATGTAGGGTACTGTTAAAAAGAGGATTGATTGCATTGGCAGCATCTTGATTTTAGCACAGGGGTCAGTAAATTTAGTGGTTGTAGGCCAAGTCCAGCCTGCTGCCTGTCTTTGTAAGTACGTTTTATTTATTTATTTATTTATTTATTAACCTTTAAGCTCTGTTGGACTTGAGTAAGTAAAGTTTTACTGAAATACAGAAAAATAAAATAAAATAAAAATAAAGCACACTCACATAACCTAATGACACTTTGCATTTGTGTTTGGTATTTTATATTTATTCAACCTAAACACAGTACGTCTATAACTGAATATTTTCAATAAAATTTTGTATATCAGAAACAAGAATTTTAGTATAATATTTCTAGAGGAAGTTTTTAGTCTCAATTACCAAACTGGTATATTTTCAGTGAGCTAAAATCTCTGATGTATAACCAAAAATGAATCATTTTCAAAGCTACAACTTATTCAAAATATTCATAAGATATTTCAAATATCAAATATCTGCTGCTCACTAAGATGGCCCTTTATTACCAGGCAAAATATTTATCATACTTACAAAGTTTTTCCCCTTCACTGTTTTTAATTTAAACTGAGTAGGTTAAGCACGAAAAGGTTTCTGGACTTTCAGAAGATGCTAACAGAGACTTCTTCTTTCTGTACTTTCTCAGATTCACGAATTCTGATAAAAGACTTTCCACATTTGTAGATTCACAGGATTTCTGCCTTCGGTGTGTTTTCTGATGTGCTATGAGTGATGACTTCTGGTAGAAAGTCTTCTCACATTCATTATATTTGTAGGGTTTCTCTCCTGTGTGGGTTCTCTGATGTACTCTGAGGGATGACTTGTGGTAAAAAGTTTTGCTACATTCATTACATTTATGAAGTTTCTCTCCTGAGTGAGTTATTTGATGCTTAGTAAGAGCTGATTTCTGGTTAAATGTTTTGCTGCATTGAATACATTTATATGGCTTCTCTTTTTTATGTCTTTTTTGATGTACAGTAAGGGATGACTTCTGGGAAAAACTTTTCCCACATGCATTACATTTATATGGTTTCTCCCCTGTGTGTGTTCTCTGATGTACTATAAAAGACGACTTCTGGAAAAAGGTTTTCCCACATTCATTACATTCATAGGGTTTTTCCCCTGTGTGAGTTCTCTGATGCACAATAAGTTTTGACTTCACTGAGAAAGACTTCCCACAGTCATTACATTCATAGGGCCTTTCTCCAGTATGAGTTCTCTGATGATAAATGAAGTTTGGCTTTTGTGAGAATATTTTCCCACATTTGTTACATTCATAGGGTCTTACACCTGTGTATATCCTTTGATGTACTATAAGGAATGAACTGTAAACAAAGGTTTTTCCACAGTCTTTACACTCATAAGATTTCTCCCCTGTGTGAGTTCTCTGATGCACTTGGAGATTTGACTTCTCACAGAATTTTTTTCCACTTTCACTACACTCATAGGGTTTATCACCTGTGTGTGTTCTCTGATGTACTGTAAGGCCTGACTTATACCTGAAGGCTTCCCTACGTTCAATACATTCACAGGGTTTTTGCCCTGTGTGTATCTGTGGATGAACTGTAAAGCCTGACCTATTTGTGAAGGTTTTCCCACATTCAATACATTCATAAGGTTTCTCCCCTCTGTGTATCTTATTACGTACCACGAGAGATGAACTGTGGCTGAGAGTTTTCCCACACTCATTACATTTATAGAATCTTTCTCTTATGTGTGTTTGCTGATGTTTAAAGATAACTGATATATGCCAAAAAGAACTCCCATAATGACTATTTTGAAAGGTTTTCTTTTCTGTGTATGTATGCTGTTGAGAGAGACTTGGTTTCTTAAAGATTCCCCTACCTTCATTACATTCAAAGCTTGTTTTTCCTTTTTGAGCTCTTTCAGTGTCAATGAAGAGTGATTTCTTGCCAAAATTATTCTCACACTCATAGTATTTTTTCCCATGATTCCTCCATGGTGTTTATTTAGAGATTTCTCACCAACAGACCTCCTCCCACAGTCATTAAACTCATAGTGATTCTCCCTTGTGTGAGTTCTCTGATGAACAAGGAGGTTTGGATTGTCAGAAAAGGCTCTTAGTTGTTCATTATATTCACAGGGTTTCTCCCCGGGCACACTCTCTTATGGGTACTGAAGGCTGCCTTCTCATGAAAAGCTTTCCCACACTCAAGGTATTCAAAAATTTGCTTCAGAGTTTGAATATCCTGATGCTGAAGTAAGTCCTCATTCTGACATATGGCTTTCTCATTTCTGTCACACTCAAAAGGTTTCTCTCTGGCATAAGGATGTTCATGTCTTATATGAAGGAGCAATTTCACATATGCACTGAGCTCATCAAGCTTCCTTACAAAGGAGTTTCTATTACTAACAATTCTGAAATATAATTCACATTCATTATACATAAGTCATATTTATCAGGTATTTTTCTCATTGGAACAAGGTTTGAATTTACATTAAATGTTTCTCCTAAAACACTATTTCTGTCTTCTGTCAATATTTTGTTGGTGACAAAACCACCTTTCCCCAAATGTTGGTCTTGATTTTCCTGGTTCTTCTGCATCAGTTCGACTTTCCAGAATTCTGGAAATGAGAATAGTTTACCACATCTTGTAAATATTAACACATTTCATGTGGAAAGGGGATGTAATATGGAAATGTTCTAGGATAGCCCAGGCATCTGGTCTGAAAGTAATCCTGAGGGCATACATCTCACTCCCTTAGGATTAGACAAAACAAACTGAATAGGAAAAAAGGAGAGGAATCTGCAAATAAAAACACAGTAATCTTGCGCTTTAGAAATGTGACTTTCGAAACTGGATAAAGTGGAATAAACAAATACAACAAATGATACTTTAGGATGAACGGTAGAGGCATGAAGGGGAATCATTAAAGGCATTGAATAGTAGGTAAAATTGCCAGAAAAAAAAATTAGGTGATAGTGTTTGAGAGGCAACAGCAAAGGAAAAATCAAGTTTGGAGGAGGCAAATACAGGTTTTTATCTCCTGCTGTAAAATACTCACTAATACATATGTTTCCATTGCATCACTACTTCTTTTCTTTATTTTTATTTTTTGTTTTTTATTTTTTGTTTTTTGAGACATTGCCCAGGCTGGATTGCAGTGGCACAATCGTGGCTCATTGCAACCTCCACTTCCCAGGTTCAAGCGATTCTCCTGCCTGATCCTCTCAAGTAGCTGGGATTACGGGCGCCTGTCACCACGCCCGGCTGATCGTATTTTTAGTAGAGACGAGTTTTCGCCATCTTCGCCAGGCTGGTCTCGAACTCCTGACCTCAGGCAATCCACCCGCCTCGGCCTCCCAAAGTGCAGGGATTACAGGCATGAGCCACCTTGCCTGGCTCTGCTTTTCTCTTCCACTCATCAACACCAAATTACAAATGCAGAGTGCAATAATTGTCCATGTGCAAAAGAAAACTCCTATTGCCCAGACAATAATTCTCACTCTAGCTGATTCACACAAAAAGCCAATGCCCAGAAAAAGCAGACATGTAGGCTATGGAAACAAGATCAGTTATGTAGTTTTATTATGCTGTTTTATGTTCATTTTATTCTACCACAGTTGTCATTAATGAACCTGTCATAGCCATCAAATCATAAAATTTCCCTATTTATCAACTTACTTCATAAAGTCTTATACTTCACACAGCTCTATTTTTATATATAAAGTCATCCTTTACTTTTCATACATATAATATAGAATATAAAGCTGTATATATTATATATATGAATATACATATATAATTTTTTAACCATTTATTTATTTCAGTATGTCTGGTTTCTCTTTCCATTATAAGCTTTAAAGACCACAGTTTTCAACCTAATCTTAGAATCTTTACTGATCTTCATACAGTTAATCCTCATTATTCATGGATTTTGTGACTACAAATTCATCTACTCATTCAAACTTATTTGTAAACCCAAAACCAAGACTCTTGGTGCTTTCGTTGTCAAGAACATGCACTGAGCACTTAAAAATTTCAGTCACCCAACACACATATTCCCAGGTGAAACTGAACAAGTCAATGCTCTAGCTTCTTGTTTCAGTTCTCATGCTATAAACAAGTGCCCTTCCCTGCTACCGTTAGTGCCACATTTTTCAGTTTTGTGGGTTTTGCTGGTGATTTCACTGTTTAAAATAGTCCCCGAGTGTAGGACTGAAGTACTGTCTCTCGTATTCCTAAGTGCAAGAAGGCTGTGATGTGCCTGTGGAGAAAATATGTGTGTTAAATTAGCTTTATTCAGGCATGAGTTGTAGTGCCGTTGGCCATAAATTCAATATTAATAAATCAGCTATATATATTAAATAAGATTTTTTAAAAATAAACCCATATAAAAAAAGTTATGTATGGATCAGCTAACAAAAATGTGGGCAAAGCCTGGCAGGAACTAACCCTGTATTTCTTCTGGGAGCAATGATTCAATATTCATTAATTCAGTGCTTGTGGTAACTTTCCAGAACATAAATACCATGAATCATGATAATCAACTGTATCTTTTTATTATGAAGTTTCCTCTGACAACTATCACTCTGTTCTTACCCAGATTCAACACAATATTAACAATACTATGGTCAAAAACCTACCCATCCTTGAGCCTAGTGTCCCAAAGCACTAAGAAAAAAAACAGATAAAGTCCACACTCACAGACCAGATCTGACAAATGGATTCTACTTGCTATTGGCAACTATCACTCCTTATTACCACAATCACTATCCTCTGCTGTCCACAATCCAAACAGTCTTTCCTCCATAAATTGCTCATCCCCAACCACAGACCTGCATTTATAAGCATCCACTTTGTTACTGGGCCTTTCAATCTTAGCCCTACTCAGCAGCAGGATGCCTTCAAGAAATAGCTATTATCCCATAATATCCAAAAAAATCTTCATAAATCTGTGCAGTTAAAAGGTGGCAATATTAACTTTTTCACTTTGTATGGCACTGCTCTATAACAAATATTTCTTTCTAACAGTTTAACTTTAAAATATTTTCATGATGGTTTTGTTCTTTTGCCACAAATGTACCCTAAGGTCCGAGCAGGTGTTGCTCTATTTCTGATTTCTTTTAAATTATCTGAATGAGTAGTAAATCAGTGGACACATACTAGTAAGTGGAATGCATCACAATTTCTTGGAAAGCTATTTCAAAACACAAACCTTAAACTTCTTGCCAATTTACCCCCAATAATCAAGCTGAATATTTTCGCCTTAGCATATCTACTTAAAAAGAGTTCCTTGGTTTTCTGTGTGAATAAATATAAAAGAGTACTCACAACCCAGGCTATACAATCAACAAAGTAATATCTACTGCATGTTACTTAGTAAAAGAAGGAAGAGTAAAAGAAGGATCTTTCTCTCTGGGGGTAGAAAATTGTAATTGGAAATAAAAAAAAAACTAGTCAAGAACTTAATCTGGTCAGGTATCAGATAATCAGGTATTAGATAATCGAATAGTAGATTAATATACAGTCATTTTATGTACATGAATAATGCAGCTAATGGATATTTCATGAAAAAAAAAATTAGAAAACTTCAGCTCTAACCTAAAATGTATGTAACAAGAACAACAGCAATAAGACTTTATTATATATACCAGGCATTGCTTTAACCACTTTTCACTTATTCATTCATTTAACCATCTGTACAGGAAAGATACATGCTAGAATGAAAAGGGCAAACAAGGTAGGGAGCACTACATGTTTCAGAGACATCTAGGTGACTTTACCAAATGGAGTTGGGCAGGGTTTGGAGCAACAGAGAAAAATAAATTTGGTCAGGCTAAATGTGGCCACATGTGAAGCTTGTTAAAGAACTTACATTTTAGGCCAGGCACAGTGGCTCACGCCTGTAATCCCAGCACTTTGGGAGACTGAGGCAGGTGGATCACAAGGTGAGGTGTTCGAGACCAGCCTGGCCAATATGATAAAACTCCATCTCTACTAAAACTACAAAAATTAGCCAGTGTGGTGGTAGGTGCCTGTAGGCCCAGCTACTCAAGAGGCTGAGGCAGGAGAAACCCCTGAAGTAGGGAGGCAGAGCTTCTAGTGAGCCGAGATCACACCAGTGCACTCCAGCCTGGGCAACAGAGCAAGACTCTGTCTTAAAAAAAAAAAAAAAAAAGCTTACATTTTAGGCGTTAGGTAAGAGTAGAGAAATCATAGATTTATCCTGCCAGGCTAGTAACAAGGTAAATCAGACATTTGAAGTTTTACATTTTAAATCTAATTCTATCATGAATTAGATTAATCAGAGCATGATCCTAATAAATACATGGATCTGCTTGTGGGTGATGTCAGTAGAAAGTAAGAATAAGAAGGTATTTTGAAGACACTTCATAAAAGTGAAAGAAGAACTGCAAAACAACATTAAGAGTGTGATAATGTATGGTGGCTCACACTTGTAATCCCAGCTACTCAGGAGACTGAGGCAGAAGGAACATCTGAGCCCAGGAGTCCAGGACCAGCCTGGGCAGCACAGCAAGACCCTATCTCAAAAAAAAAATGTGAGAGAGCTAGAAGATTTAAAGTGATTTCATTTTTATCAGTTATAGTAGACCTAATGAATTAAAAATGTGAAGTGATGAATTAAAAATATGAAGTGAAAATTTAAGATTTGTGAGATACAATTTTACTTTTTAGCTTTTACTATATTGAGAAAGTTAGAATTAAAATGCAAGAAGAATTTAACATAAGTAAGTAAAATACTGTAGGACTCTAGAGCAAACAGGACAAGTGAGAGAGTGATAATTTGAGAATCACAAGCTTTAAGTCTTGAGAATGTATAAGAGAGTTGTGAATAATGTTTTGAGAGAATTGCTGTATGAGAGAACAGAAGATCCACAGGATAGTTTTTGAAGATGCATAGAAGAGCCCTGGGAATCACCATCCATCCATCTAACAGATATGTTATTATGGGACAATCGTGTGCCAGGCTTCA